GTTCAGCAGCTGGATCAGCTGTGGATTTGTGGGGTTCCCCTCACATTTGCTTTCAAAAACGTGCCCGTCTGCCTTTAAAAAGGAGTCCAAGCTCTCCTCAGTATCGGTAAGCAACACAGTTCTCCAGAGGCTGTTCTGTCTTCTACCTTGCTCAGGCAATGAGAAGCGCTATCTCTTCCCCGTGGTTTTCAGGTTTTCCACCAGGGAAGGAGGCTTTTTGGTCCTATAGGCAGCACTGCCTGCAATCCGGGCCCCTCTGATGGAACTGATGTAGGGCAAAAGGGGAGGCTCCCGCACCACCAGCGCGGTGCCCTTGGGAGTATAGGCTCGGAGCAGCAATTCCTCTTCCGCGTGAGCTGTCACTGCCACCCAGCCTGCCCAGCCAAAAAAAATACAGACAGTCAGCGAGACAAGTCACTACGATCAGAACAAGGGTTCTGACACAAACTCAGTGCCTCCCATGTTGGCTAAGAAACCTGAGCTACCCAGGCATGATTTCTTTGAGAAACCAAGCTCAAAGGTAACATCCAGCCCTTTCCCAATAGAAGGCAGCACCTAAAGCCAGATCTTACCCTCCTCAGACACAGCTCTTTCCTGGTGAATTCAAGAGGGATGGTGGGAACTACCAAAAACACAATAATAAAGCTTTCCAGTCCATGGCCCTTTCCCTCTCACCTGGACAGCCGACAGTGTCACAGCCATTCCCGATGCTGTGGAACTTATATGACAGCCAGAGCATAAAAGTATTCCAATGTGGTCATCCTCTACATGCACGGTTGTCAATCTCCATTCTTGGAGGTTGCCAAGCCTCAGCTGGACAAAGTCACAGCTGCCCTGATTTTGTGTTGGTGACAGTCCTGCTCTGAGCAGGAAATACAGCTTCATCCCTTCAGAGACCTCTTTCCACCAATGTTTCTAGGATGCAGACCCTGCAAAGCAAACTAATGAAGAAATACTAAATTACCTGCAGAGGAAAGCTTGATATCTGCGACTGCCTCAGCAGTACCAATTCCTTTCAGAGTAATGTCCTGAGGCACAAGTGGAGGGAACTCTTTCATTCGCTCTTCCCCACCCATGGGAACCTATGATCAAAACACAGAGAAAAGATTTAACAGTCAAGAGACGCTTCAGCGCTCCTACCTTAAACTGGTGAGCAAGGCAAAAACGGCAATAAAGATATTAGACCGTTGTTAGCCAAGTAAGAGCTGCCATGAATACGCCACGGGAGTTATTTCACGTTTGCCAAGGACAGAATCAGGATCACATCCAGAGCAACCCAGCGGGAGCTCCGAGGCGAGCAAAGATGGAGTGCCCACTGCAGGACCCAGCTGGTGGCTGAAGCCTCCCGCCTTGATGTGAGTGACAGCCCTTGTTCTCGACACGCACAGGAATGGAGCTGCCAGGACAAGGACAGCTCACCCTGTCCCCCATCAATCTGCAAGCGCGACACAGTATGCATCAATACCAAGGAAAAAGTCAGACCACCAAAAGACGAAGGGATGTGCAGAGGATTCAGTGGGGAAAGAATAAGAAAGGTACATTTTTCAGCTGCAATCTCTTCTGAAACCCCAGTCTGAAGTTTGCCATGGAAAATATCCCTGTTGCTGCCCACACTTGACAGCTGTTCAAGAAAAGCCAAGCACCAGACAGCAAAGCACTGCCAATCTCATCTGCCTGAATGCCAGAAACAGAAGCCTTGCTGAAAATGTGTAATCTCAGGCACTCCCTCCTAACACAGCTCCAGCCATGCAGTCTGTGCAAGACCGCTCCACACTGCAGATCTCCACTGACCCACTGCAGAAGTTCCAAACTCCTGACATGTGCTGGTTTGTCCCATCAATTGTGCCCCAGCCAGGGCGCTTCACCAAAAGGGACAGCTTGCCTGTCTGACCAAGAGCCCATGACAGCACCTCCTCTTACCTTTAGTAACTCATGGCCAGCATGCTTCTCGTAGATGGCATCTGCATTACTCAGGGTAGTAATGTGGACTGGCAACAGGTTAGAAGCCACGACAGAAAACCAGGCAGACTTTTCTCCCTGAAATAAATGAGAGAAGAGGATGTTACTTTGGTAACCGAAAAGCAGCACTGAATTGCTCTCTCCTGCTCCCTTTCTTTCCTGCATGCTGGAAACCTGTTTGACTGATGTCCCCTCCTTGTTCCGCATGTCCTTGCCTCTGTCACTGCAGAGCAGCCAGGGTTTACATACACAGGGGAGCTGAGCTTCCCAGAGAGACGCACCCACGGCTTCACCATCCTGCCTCAAAGCACCCCCAATACCACATCCCCAACACCACATCCCCTGCCATCACAACTGCTCAGCTCAGGCAAATCATCCAAGTGGTATCTTTGCTCTCATTTAATTCCCAAGAACAAACTCAGTGTGGTTATTTAGCATGAGAGGTGACGGACATCTCCTGTCTGGTGCTGCTTCTCTTATCACTTTACATTTCTAACACGCACCTCTCGTCGAACCATACTTGGTTCCAAGCTGCTCTCAAGCTGTGCAAAGACTGAACGTGGAGCACTTTCAGCAGGCACTCTCATAACTTCTGCATGCAGAGCAAACAAGGTTAGAGAGGGGAGAGACCTCTACAAACACTGCGAGCAGCCTGAAATCAAGGAAACCGGAGTGCGGCAATTCCTTCAAGTTCATCAAAGATCTAATCTGAGGCAGGGGCTCCTCTGTCATGATCTGAGCACAACTGTCTGCCTTCAAGGTCTCCGGAGGATGTAGATACACAAGACTGATACCGAGGACCTGTGGGGCAGCTCAGCTTGCTAGCAGCACCATTACACGGAGAACAGGCTTAAAGCATGAAGCCTAACTGCCAGCCCTGCTGCACTGGACGTGTTTCTGAGCCTGATCCTCTTCTCATCAGGAGATGGTGTGACACTTCTTTACCCTGACCTCAGGTTCCCCAGCCACGTTCTCCACAAGTCCCAAGAATGAAACTCATCCCTCATGACAAAACAACCCCTTGGGCAGCCCTGTGGCTGCCTGATCTCGCAGCGTTTCTGCAGAGAGTGTTTACTGCCAGCAAGATGTCACCTGTATCACTGTCCTACTTTGTCAGGGATGCGAATCCATGTGCTTTCTTCAGTCCCTGATAACACCCAACCAACATGCCTAGGAAGGTCTTTTCTGAGAGCTTTGCCCACAACAGTATGGATAAAGACAGTTTATTTTTCTGCTGGGTTGCTCTCCTTACAAACAGGGTTTTTCCTGAGTGAGGCATTACTCCTCTGTACTGCCAAGCTGTTTTTCAGGACAAGGCTCTGGATTCTCACCTTAACTACGATGGAGCTCTCCTGCCATACTGGTACACTATTACTTACAGAACCCTGTCCCCTCCACCTTTCTGGCTTTCTTCCAGCAAGTCAAGAGTGTCCTCAGCAAAGCACCAATTCAACATTTCTATGGTGATCCTGGAAAGCTGACTGAAACAAAGGAATAGCCATACGCACATGCTCTTCCCAAAATGGGGCAAACTACTGGGAAAGGCATTATCTTAAGTGCTAGACCCACACCTGGAAGAAACCACCCCTTCCAGAGAAAACATCATGGGAGGTCAGCTCCACACAGTTCAATAAAGGGCTACAGCATGGGATTTCTAATAAATGGAAGAAACTGGCAGGGGACACACACAGCACCTTTTCAAAATATTTTTTACAGAAACTAAAATACATGTACATTTAATTGCTTCCTTGGGCAAATTCTTCAGAGAGGTCTGTGTCAGGAAGGAAAAATGCCCATGCTTTTCTCTCTTGGCAGACGGCTTTCACGAAACACAGAAATGAGGAAACCCACCTATTTTCCCAGTTAATTCTGGCACTCTTCTTCCCTCCCTGCCTTGTGCCTTTGAGTGTTATGCGAAGCACATTAAGCTGAAGGCATTTGTCAGCATTCAAAAGCAGTTACTATTATACAACATAAAATACTGCAGGCTGGTAACAAGCATCAAGCTTTCCAACCGCAACTCCCCATCCCAAGGCATTCTGACTTTATGCGGTGCTTTATGAACAGAATCATCATCTCAAAAGCAGCAAAGAAAAGATCTGTGAAAGCTACCCAGAAAGTCTTTTATCATCTGGTACTATAACAAGAGATGAAGCAGCTGCTCACAAAATCCTTTCTTCCCTTACCTGCAAGTAGTCTATGCGTCCCAAGGCTGCTAAAAACAAGACCGTTCCTGGCTTGAGAATGAAGGTCCGTGGAATGATGGCACACGTTGGCAAAACCAGCTTTACTTCTTTTTCTGTCAGGAGATTTAAAACCTGCAAAATAAATTGTACTGCCATAACTCATTCCAGATGTTTCAATGAGGACAATTAAATTAATACTGATGTTATATTAATAGAGGAAAAAGATCAAGTAAAGCAGCATGAAGAACATCTAATAGAACAGTTCAATTCTGGTCCACGCAGGGAGAAACAGGAGGCGGTAGGGATGTCACCAATCTCCATGGCAATGCAGGGTCCACAGCGTAGCCTGTTGGACCATGGATTTGGGAACCCTGGGTCTGGCTCACACAAGATTTACTGTGCTTTAGCATGAGTGCAGCCATGTGCAGAACTGGAGACCACCTTCCGCTATGACATTTGAGTTACTCCACTTATGTAGTGACGCAAAGTGCCGAATCAATACTGGCAGCAAAGCTAGTCTCAAATATCTCACTGAGAGAAAAGTGCTGGATCACGCTGTGAAACAACTCAAACTGTAGGACAACCAGCCTGCCACACAGCATGGATCCCTACCCTCAGCACAGTGAAACAAGCTCTCCCCTCCATAAGGGCTCCCCAAATGCTCCTGCTGCCTGTCTTTCTCTCCCCCCCTTCCTTTCCATCTCCTGGCTTAACTGGCCCATCTGTATAGGTGCTAACTTGTTTCAGTGAAATGATCCACCCCAAAGTCTACTTAACTTAAAAGCCAGGGACTTAACTAGCAGTGCTGCAGCCACAGCGATCTGATCACGTCCTACAGAAGCACTGTTCAAACCCAGCTCTGAAACAACGCAGGCACAGAGGCTCAGGAAGCAGTGCCTTGAAGGAATCAATTAGTCTCCATGTTGATGGTGTGTCTTTCCTAAACGCAGGGAACTGACAGCAGAAATGCTTCCAACTGTGCCCCCCATGCATGCCACAGTCATGCAAATACAAGTTTGTAGCAGACTGGCCATGAGCATTAACCTCAATTCAGCACAAAAAGACCAAACTAACAAGGGTTGTTGTGGTGCAGCCAGAACCCCTAATGCTCCTCATATGTTCACCAGCAGACATAGCTTGAAAGTCAGGGCAGACTTCAACACCGATTCTGAAAGACGAGGAGGCTTTGTCCTGCTAGCTGCAGGTTTGTCATGCAAATACAAGTTTGTAGCAGACTGGCCATGAGCATTAACCTCAATTCAGCACAAAAAGACCAAACTAACAAGGGTTGTTGTGGTGCAGCCAGAACCCCTAATGCTCCTCATATGTTCACCAGCAGACAATCTTTAGCTTGAAAGTCAGGGCAGCCTTCAACACCGATTCTAAAAGATGAGGAGGCTTTGTCCTGCTAGTTGCAGGTTTTCTGATGTGTTTGGCAATGCTTAAATCAAAATTCGAGAGTTATCAGTAATCATTTTCTATGCTTTCCAGAAGTTCAGCTTTGCAAGAAGTCATGAGGAAGCAGCTGAAAACAAACCTCCAAGGAATAAGGACAAAAATGTAATTCTATCATATGCTAACAGCCACTTTTCCCTCCCTCTTCTTCCAAAGTAAAAAAAAAAACAAAATCACCCAAACCTGCTCATAACTAGAAATCTCCCCAGCCAAAATCTGCCACTTAGACCATCTGCTTGTCCTCTAGCCAGATCAAATACTGACTGCAGAAACAAAAATCTGATCTGAAACTTGGCACATAGCTCTCCAAAGGCACAGCAAGGATAATCAAAATCAGAAATGGCAGGAAGTACGTCTGGATGCAGGAAAGCCCACCTGTTTTCCATACTTATTCGACTCCATAAGAGGGGAACAACATATCCAATCTCCAGTTACCAAACCAGGTCTCTAAGCTGCCGACTGTCTGTACACAGGACACTAACCAGCAATCAGAGCGCGAAGTGCCACAGAAAATTGGGTTACTATCTGGCAATAAATCTACTAGAAAACCAGTAGTTTTCTACTGTTCATGAAAGCAGCATCTGCACTTGAGCTGTGCTGTCTCAGTACAGTTCCTGCACTTCCTTCTCTTCAGAACTTTCCTACCTCCTTGTACTTTTTAATCTTCCCGAAAAGATGACCTACAGCTCTGCATAGACATCAAGGCAATCAAAAATGAAAACATGACTTTTTTGGACGTGCGCACTTCATCAGCACTTGCTTCAGAGCCATTGCTCTACTGAAACACTGAGGTAGGCCTGACGTATAGGAGCTATGAACAGGAACACTGCAGATCCTGTTAGCTTCAGGAGAATGCTTTCTCAAAGATTTGGATTGCTCACACAACACTGGTGGTTATCCTCCTAAGCTCCACCTTTTTCAGTGGGCTAGTAGAGCTAAAAAAGTGCAAACTTCATTGAATGGTGCTGGTACCAACTCACTCACAGCACTATCGCTTACTTCCCTTCATTTAGACGTTAAGAAAGTTTGACGATGCAGTCATACAGTTCCTCTGCAAAGATCTCGGTATGCACTATTCAGAAATGCAACAGCGTTAACACAATGAACCCTTCCCAAGTAAATACAAACCACATTTTAACACAATTGCCCAACCAAAAGAATCCTAACCGCAGGGACTGCAGCAGAAATACTCTCGCACATGCACAGGTAAGGCAGAACACTCCTCCCAAACCCCGTCAGCCCGAACCACAGCACCACGGAGTACTTACACAGTTTTCCTTTACAATCCCTGGAGTGTCAAAACACCAGCGAGCATCCTTCACTTCGTTGTATGTGAACTCCTCCCTTTTCTTAGTCTTCCTAGGGGAATCTCTGGGATCTTCATCTATGCTGTAGGAGAGCATGTCAGGGTCAAAGTCAATCATGGCGCTAGACTTCTGCTGTTGAAATGTTCTTCCAACTCTTCCTGGATTAAAATGAAAGGTTTATGGGTAATTAATTTATTAACTTGCCTTTCCTTCAGTTGGACATCTGTCCCTTTCCTTGCTTAAAAGGGATGCACGTTGGTAACATAAAGGTGATAAAGATGCTATATAGCTAGAAGTTTGTGTGTTCAAAAGCCAAGATGGTAAGAAATCCCTTCAGTAATTCTTGCTCAGCACTCCTCAAGCCCCAAAACCTTAACGGGGACCAGACACTCTGTTATTTCTGTTTTACAATAAAGCAGGCTGCCTTCTTTTTTCAGTGCCTTAGACTGCCAAACACAGAATTATTTGAAAAATCAGAGCTATCTTCTGGCACCCCCCTCTTTTGGATACACGTTAAAATGATGTACAACCACAGTGGCCTGCAGGCAAAACATGATTATTTTAAAATTAAACTTGTTTTCATCCTTTGGGAACGAGAGAGGGCCTATAATGCAGTATCATTGCAAGCTACTAAGCTATCTGAACTAGGTTAGCAAACGCTGACGGGAAGCGCACTGCACAGAGGAAGCCTCTGCAATGCTACTACAACAGCTGAAAAGTACTTGAAAGAAATACTAATGATGCTGCTTACAGAGGAGCTAGAGGTCTTGTACTCATTACTCAGGGAACAAAAACTGGTCAAAATAACTCCAATGCAAGTTTGGAAACTTTTTATTGCTACTACAGATAGCACGTTCTTCCCGTAATTAAATGGAAATTAGTTCCTTCAGAGTGGGAAGAAATTACTTGCTATAACCAGTTGAATTCTACAGCAAATTAAGGAGTTAACAGTCCTTGGTGTAATGCAGTATTTCCACTGGGGCAATATCTTTACTCAGAGAATACTCACCTACTAAGTAACCTTCCTTTTTAAGGTGATTAAGGTACTTTTTTTCTTCACTGCTTAGCTCATCTTCTGTTTTTGTTGCCTCCTGGTTCAGCCTCTCCTGCCTTCGGAATATCCTGTCACATGTAGGATTAATAATTGGAAATTTCAACAGGTTCAGTGTTGTTCCTGGAAAAAACAGAAAGCACGTATGGGCCTCTGACTACCTGGCACATTTAAGCTCCAAGGAACAAGGATCAGAGAAAGAAAAAAAAAAAAAAAAAAATGAAAAAAAAAAATTGCTTCTCCAACTTTTGGGTGAAACCCAGTAACACAAAGTTGGAGGTAGAACTACAGCTGCTCCCATAAACTAGGAGCCTCCCCAGCCAAAACGGCAGAAGTGAGGCATCCATCTGCTTGACATCTGCTCGCACCTATGGTTTGATGAAACGGATCTCAAAGCCAAGCAGTACTAAGATCGACTTAATACACCCCAGGCAAGTTTCACCTCCAGGCAGATTGGTTTGACCTACGATTCTTTTCTAGGTGTTCACCAGTCCACCTCCTGGTCTCTCTAGACTGGAAGGCACCCCAAATTGATAGAGATGGCAAGGCACGTGGATTAGGTGCCATCCCCACTGGCAGGGGAGCACGCAGGCCAGCTCTTGTCTACCAGTCTCCTTAGTGCTACTCTGTGCACACCTCCCACCCTTGCCACCCTGAGGAAGGCGATGATTCGAAGCAGAGTGCAGCAGTGGACCTCGTTGCCCACGATGGTAATGCTTCAGGGTGGTGGGCACCCATTCGATGACAGGTTCTCCTGCCCCGAGGTGGCCAAGGGCAGCCTTGCAGGAGGCCTGGGGCTAGCGGGCCTCTGAGCACCCGACACCGTGCGTGACCCCC